ATAGTGCTAGTAATAGTAATAGTAATAATGATAGTAATAGTGCTAGTAATAGTAATAGTAATAGTAATAGTGATAGTAATAGTGATAATAATAGTAGTAGTGAAGTCCGCGGTTGTTCTCGATTCGTAACTGGGGAACCTAAGGCGGGATACAGAGTGTTGTTGATGATGATGGTGCTTTTCAGGATGAGGAAGTGTCAAGGGAGTCCTCTGAACTGGAGCAGCAGCGAGAAGGGTTACTAAGAGAGCTAGAGGAGGCCGAGCAAGAGGGTAGGAAGATCAAGAGCCGACTAGATGCTCGGATAGGAGAGTTAATACCATCAACGGATGAGGACACCTGAGACGATGATGATAATGACCTCTCACTGCAGTAGAATTCACTACGTTATAGTTCCTTGATCGGGCCGATGGTGTTGGGTTCCTGGGGCCGCCGCTGGTACCGTTTTGTGCTGTTGGTACCAGTGTGGTTAGATTTGCACATGGTCAGCTACATGTGTTGGTGAGAATATGAAAATTCCGAGGAAATTTTGGAAAACTCTTGTTAGTTTCTGCACACTTGTAGTGAATATTCTCCCAATTCTTATATAAACTCCTATGATAAGTGAGGGAAATATTGAGGTCATATTTTGCAGCCCTGGTTGGTAGAAGGGTTGTTGGTTGATTTCAATTTCACAGCTAAAATGTTCTCCTTTGGCGGTCCTCACAACGGAGGGGACGATCCTGTAAACCCTCAGATGGGCGGCTTCCTCCAAGGCTTCTTCGGAGCTATGGTAAGTTCCTCCTCTACATAGTGGGAGTAGACGGGTCTTCTGACTTGAAACACCGCTGTATTGGTAACCATCCTTAACGTGTACCTTTCGGTCAGTCACGTAGCGTTTTATCGTAAAATAGGAAATTTCAATTTTCCTATTACCGCTCCCGAGAAGCGGCATGGCCCTCCTCCCGGGCAATGCTGACTAATGGCATGCCCTTCTTCCTTGCACTTCAATGCTCCCATCTAGGATATTCTTATCTTTTCTAGTTGGGTAATCTTAGAAAATTTGTACATGAAAAAAGGTTATATTATGGTCTTTGAGTGTATTCACTTTATCAGGGCTCGGGCGGCACCTTCGACGTGCAATACCATTGCTACCCTGTGAGCTTTCTGGGTAGGGAAGAGTTGGAGAAGGTAGGCTGGAGAACTAAGAACTCTCACTCGTCAACGAGAAACACAGATTTTTCGAATTTTCCTAAAAAAATACGCTCCTTATACTTTTCCAATTTCAAATTCGGCAAGCAAAAGTGCAAAATGAATAAATGAAATTTAATTGTCGTTGAGTGGAAGAAGTTTTTCACGAAATGAGAGTTCAAATTAGTGAAGTTCAAATCTGCCGAATACAATACAATTTTTCGATCAGTGAAAGCTCGGTCGGAGTTGGTCTGTGTTCGCCGAATTTAAACTTTCATTCGGTGAAATACTTCTTTCACTTGATGAAAATCAAATTCCATTCATCTAGTTTGACTTTCTGAATTTGAGATTGAAAAAGTGTAGTTCATCAGTAGGAGTGTAGAGAGCATGCCGTTCTGTTGAGAAAATTACGGAATCCGCGAGCTTTCTGCCAACGAGGAAAGTTCCCCTGTGAAACCGGAGCACTGGATAGCCAGTCACAGCTATGTCAGATGTTACTCGCGACCATCATAGACATTTATATTAGGGTTGCTTTCCTCAGCTGAGTTTGGAAGCTTTTTCACAAGGAGATTGTATGCTGTATGAATTTGGGTGGAAGTGTACAGAAACCAATAAGAATTTCCTGAAATTTCCTCAGAATTTTCATATTGTCACCAACACATGTAGTTGATCATGTGTATATTTCCTCCCCACTGATTCCGACATAGCGACGCGCGCAGTCTGTTCTCCTAAGAGGTTGATGTTTTCTCATGTGTTCTCAGGGTAATAAGATTCTCCTGCCACAGTCAGCTCTGGACCAACTAGCACGGCTGAATGTGAGCTACCCTATGCTATTCCAAATATCTAACTTGAAGGAGGTAAGATACGGAATAGGTCCGAAACATGCCATCGTAGAGGACCCTCCCAGGGCGGTTCATAACATCCTTTTTGTCAGCCCCGTACGACCCATTGTGGCGTTCTGGAGTTTACGGCTGAGGAAGGGTTCTGTTATATCCCCTATTGGATGATGCAAAATCTAGTCCTACAGGAAGGTGAGCTTCCTCTACTCTCCACTGAGTACTGGCTCCGTGGAGGAAACTATATGTGCAGTGCGCACCAATTTGACACGCAAACGTGCGTTATTTTCCGAGATTAATGAGAATCAATCTGGAACTATATCGCATATACAATGTAGCAATGGCTATGAACATGTGTTGTAATAAAAGTAACCGTTTGGGACTGCTGTGATGATAGCGATAAATTGTTCACCATAATTTTTCCTCTGAAATAGCACACATTTGCGTATCAAACTTACAGTGTCAAATACTTGTCAATTTGACACTGTACATGGCTAACTATGGTTGCATATGCGAATATGAAATTTCTGGTAATTCTCATTGGTTTATACCCGAACTCCTGAGCTTAGCTGAGTAGAGTGAACATATATTCCAACGCTGCTGATTGCAGGGGATATTGTTCGAGTGAAGAACGTGTCGTTGCCGAAAGGACGGTCGGTGAAGCTCCAACCAGTGACGAAGGACTTCTTGGAAATTCACAACCCCCGGGCGATTCTGGAAAATTCTCTAAGGTGATGGAAACTCGCGATAGAGCGAATTTGAAGGTTTTCTTTTCAGGAATTTTGCGGCCCTCACGGCTGGTGATAACATTGCTATTCAGTACAACAACAAAACGTAGGGATACGTGGACAAGGCTGCTGATGAAGTTGTTGGTTTTCTTGGCAGATTCGAAATTGAAGTTGTGGAATGCAAGCCGGCGAATGCCATTAGCATCATTGAGGCGGATGTTTCGGTGGGTTGAATGACGTATGATGGTGATGATGGGGAGGCGTCCTGCTGGTCAGGTGGAGTTCCTAGCGCCCAAGGACTATGTGGAGCCGTCACCGTCGGCATCCCAAGCGGAGGAGATGCCGGGGACATCTACGGGAGCCCCGGGGACGATAGCTAGCAGTGGTGGGTTGGCAGGGTCGTATAATTTTGGCACAGAAAACAGTTTGTTATATAGGATCCACTATGTAGAGTTATATAGGATCCAATATGTAGAGTTATATAGGATCCACTATGTAGAGTTATATAGGATCCACTATGTAGAGTTATATAGGATCCACTATGTAGAGTTATATAGGATCCACTATGTAGAGTTATATAGGATCCACTATGTAGAGTTATATAGGATCCACTATGTAGAGTTATATAGGATCCACTATGTAGAGTTATATAGGATCCACTATGTAGAGTTATATAGGATCCACTATGTAGAGTTATATAGGATCCACTATGTAGAGTTATATAGGATCCACTATGTAGAGTTATATAGGATCCACTATGTAGAGTTATATAGGATCCACTATGTAGAGTTATATAGGATCCACTATGTAGAGTTATATAGGATCCACTATGTAGAGTTATATAGGATCCACTATGTAGAGTTATATAGGATCCACTATGTAGAGTTATATAGGATCCACTATGTAGAGTTATATAGGACCTTGTTGGCAGATACCCAGTCCAATGCCGAGAACATCGAGAGTGCCTCTCTAGCTGGCAAGACTGTAAGCTGTGTTGAGCGATGAGGAGAGGGTCTGCTGACTTTCAACCTTCAGGTTCTCTTCCAAGGGAAAGGAATGCGACTCGATGGTAAGCCATTGTCGTCGAAGCAGGCAAAGGCAACACCAGTCGTGGTAAGTACAGGAGTGATGATAGTCTGTGATTGTCAATGCCCTCAGGTCGGCGCCGATGGTCGTAACATGTCCGATCCTTGGGGGGACAAGCCATGGACACACAGAGTGAGCTCGACTGCGCTGTGCTTGTTCGCGGTGGATTTGATGATCGTCAGGTTCCACATGGCGTGCCGGCGTTGCCGCCCTTCGCGTTCCGCAAAGTGATGGCCGAAAAGCGTAACATCAAAGCATAGGTAGACACTTAGTCGGTTAGTAACTGTACTTTGTTTCAACTAAAGTAGAGGATCGAGTTGATATTCGTCGGACTTTCTATATGGCTTTTACGAGCTGCTGAGGTTCGCAATCATTTGCCTGCTTTGCTTGGTCATGTATGGGATCCTCCTTGTTGTTCACAGGACTATTAGAAGTAGTGCTAGTCACAGGACCATTAGGAGTAGTGCTAGTCACAGGACCATTAGGAGTAGTGCTGGGCACAGGACCATTAGGAGTAGTGCTGGTCACAGGACTATTAGGAGTAGTGCTAGTCACAGGACTATTAGTAGTAGTGCTAGTCACAGGACCATTAGTAGTAGTGCTAGTCACAGGACCATTAGTAGTAGTGCTAGTCACAGGACTATTAGAAGTAGTGCTAGTCACAGGACCATTAGAAGTAGTGCTAGTCACAGGACCATTAGTAGTAGTGCTAGTCACAGGACCATTGGAAGTAGTGCTAGTCACAGGACCATTAGTAGTAGTGCTAGTCACAGGACCGTTAGGAGTAGTACTAGCCACTCCCTTATTGAATCTCATATAATACGCTGTGCTGAGTCGGTTCTCCTGAATCGATGTGACGTGAACGCTAGAATCCCGTGTTAGCTTTCTAATGGTCGTGGTGGTAGTATTATGAGTATCTACTCCTACACCAGGCCGCGGTTCATCCTCCTAGGCTTGGCCAGTCAGCGTTGCTCGATAGGTCGGCAGTTCGTAGAGTGGATACGTATGTGAGTGCTCACTGTTAGAGTCGTCGATCTTCACTACTTGGCTCGGCAGGCACGGTGATGGCGTGGAGAGGGGTCCTGAGGATTTCACCACCTGGAATAGTACCTCTCCTGTTTTGGGTGAGTATAACATGCAGAAATGTGGCGAGTAGAATTTGGAGTGCTCTTCTCATCGGTGGAATTGAAATTCTTATTGGAAACTGCGTTCCCTAATTGACATCCTTATTCTCCAACAAAATGCATAAGTGTAAACCTCAAGCGCTGAATTGATGTCCTCACTACTTGTGTATGTGAATGCCAGTGTGGGGAAATACTCACATGCTCGAGTACATGTGTTGGTGACAATGAGGAGATTTTAGTAAGTTCTCATTGATCTCTGAGAATTCGTGGTGGCCAAACTCTTGAGCACAGCTGGATGAAACGAACATATATATTCCAGTACTCACTCCCCGACAACGCGGTTCTATTCGTAGAATTCATTTCCGCGTGGTATAGCTGAGAACTGCTGCTGATTAGCGGCTGTTTGTTGTGGAGAAGCTCTATGCCAGGACAGTGTTGGTTGTTCAGTCCCTCGGCTGAGTTCGGGAGGTCCTTAGGGTGGAAGTGTAGAAACTAAGAAGAAATCTTTGAAGATTTGCTCTGGACTTCTCTGTTCTCGTTAACACGTATATTCGACCATGGGAATATTTTCTCACACTGTGCGGGACTTCCGGTGTGTTCCATCTAGAGTTGTTCATTACAGGGGACGTCTCGGAGTCTGAAATCCTCATCCTACTGAGGCCATGGGCGACAGATCCAGCAGGGGTGGCCAACAGCGCGGTGAAAGCATTGACCTACTTCGGATTGAAGGAAAAGGACTTGGTATGCATCTCCAGTGTGGGAAAATATGCATATGACTAAGTACATGTCTTGGTGGCAATATGAAAATTCTGAGAAAATTTTGGGAAACCTTATTAGTTTCTGTACACTTCTACTCGAATTCACATAATCAGCGAGGGAACTCCTGAGCTGAGCTGAGAAGGGTAAACAATATTCTAACTCTGTGCATCTCTTATCCGGAGCTTATGCGTTATTTGGACAGGCGCTGGTCCATGGCTTGCCTTTCCTGGCTCGAGGGAAGTACCGAATACAGCACGCCCTCTATCCGCAGAGGGTGGGAGAGGAGGTACCGGTGACGTTAGTGAACCAGAAGCAGCCTAGAGTGTATGCTTATGACAAAGTGCCCGAGTTGGTGGCGCTATCGACGTTGGCTAAGGTGGGCTCGGGTTCGATTCCCACGGCCGGTATTTTATGTAGGCGTTGGGAACTACCTTCTATAAGCGCATCGAGATTGGCACGAAGCTTGTCAGGAGTAATAGGGCACCGTCTTGGGAAGTTTTCCCGGAGGTTGCGAAGGAGGCCCTTGCGAGGTCAGTCTTGCATTCCTCGTGGTGGAGGGGGAATGCCATCGCTTCCGTCGACAATATCAAAATTCTGAGGAAAATTTGGGAGATTTTCGGGAAAAAGGCTCGAGTTTTTCCAGTACTTCTATCCTAGATGGTAATTTTAGTGGAAGAAATCACGAGCTCAGGTGAGGAAATGGAATATATATTTCCACTTTTCCTCAGGATCCACGGCAGTTGGCATGAGAGTACTTTATTCGAGGACGACTGTGACAGGTCGAAGGTGTTTGCTCGGGCGTTGCCAAGTGCGAAGGAGTTTGGTGACGTTGGAGAGAGCCAGCCTATCAACACGTGGAGACGAACGGCTGATCTGACGAAGGATCCGAAGCCGGTGGGACTGCAGCAATCGGGAGGGACGAGGGGACAGGGGAGTGGTAAGGCAGGGAGGGGCCGGGAGGAGCTGCTGACGAGGGTGCTACAGCGGAGAGATGATAGCGGGGGCATGGGTGTTGGTGGGAAGATGAAGTGGTCCTCATCAGCGAGACCAGCGATGTGATGTTTCGGTCGTTGTTGGAAGCGGTTGAGTTTAGTGCAAATGGCTATGAGAAATCTTGTCAGTTGTGGTTTCACTCTTCCTCGTCTGTGGTCAGAGGGCATGTAGAGGGGGGGGGGGGAGTTGTGATGGAGTGGATGGTGTGGTCAGGTACGACAGGGAGGCTATTGCGAGGATACTGGCGGAGACGGACGAGCATTTGATGGGGATCGGCAAAGGGCCTCGGAGGTCTCTGCCTAGAGAACTTCATGGCTCGTTTTACGCTAGTCCTGGGGCTTTTTCTGAGGTGCCTCGTCCAGGGATCGAACCTGGGTGGGTTGGTCTGAAGTGTTGTAGGTATATCGCTGCTCTCACTCTCGACGAGTGTCGGAGTCGGCGGTCCCGGATAGTAGGCCAGTGAACTTGGGGGAGTCGAACTCGACATTGGGGTGATCCAGCTCTGGGCTCGAACATGGGAGGTGATGGGTTAGATACGAGGTGGCCTCGACGATGCTTAGACAACAAGAAGCAATTGACCATCTCACCAACGATTTGCACAGTGTCAAGGATGTAAAGTTGTTGTTGTATTTGTTGTATTTGTTGTATTTGTATTTGTTGTTGTTGTATTTGTTGTTGTTGTATTTGTTGTATTTGTTGTATTTGTATTTGTTGTTGTTGTAGTTGTTGTTGTTGTATTTGTTGTTGTTGTTGTTGTTGTTGTTGTTGTTGTTGTTGTTGTTGTATTTATTGTCGAGTACGGCTGATTACGTGAACGCAGTGATTGATTCGCATTCAGGCACAGGCTACTTCGTCCAGGGATATACTTGGTGAGTTGACGAGTTCGACCAAGGCAGTGGAGAGGAAGGTGTTGGGGGAACTAGCAGCAATACGGAGGGAGATGGGAGCAGTGAGGAACGACTGTAGACGGCAGTCCATAGAAAGGGAGAGCGTTTCGCCTGTCTGTACCAAGAGCTGCTCTGACGACCAGATTACGAGGGACCAGCTGAGTGTGATGGACAGGTCTCTACAAGCTAGGATTGACGCTATTGAGAAAGCACTAGATGCGAAACTGGACGGGTTCCAGCAGGCTGTGGAAAAATCACTTCTGGTGAGGGTGGCGAACGTTGAGAGGAAGATGGGCGACATTTCGCCCAAGCTGGATTGCTCTATAGAGGGTGTGGAAGACTCGATGGCTCGGATGAGGAGGACGGTGAGTGGGCAGGAGGATGCTATGGGCCGGCTACAGAGGGAGATGGAGGGTCGGAGAGGGGTAGAGGAGGAGCTGTTGGCGATGAAGGGCATCGTGGAGTCGCTGGAGAAGGAGAGAGTTCGCCGGGAGGCTAGGACGGGTGGGATGAGATGCTCTCTATTTCTAGAATGGTTTTTTCTCAGAGGAGTTGTCGAAGGGCCTGGTAGCTTTGGAGAGACGAGTGAATGAACAGAAGAACAGGTTGGAAGGGTTGGATGGGGAATCAAAGAGGGAAATTGCGGAGGTGCGAAGGGTTGCTCAGGAGGGGTTAACAGCGGCAGGACCGGAGTTTGAGAAGAAACTGGCGGCTGTGCTTCAACGTAGTGTGGAGAAGCTGAAACTGGGAGGAGTCGCTGGTCAGGGGGATAATAGGGTAACGTTACTCGAAGGGAAAGTTGCAAAACTCACGGAGCAGTTTGACGTTCTTGAGGCTATATTGGAGAGGGACTGGCGGAAGCTGGATGAGCTATGGAGTAATAGAGGGTGTGAAGACGTGATTGCGATGATAGAGGAAAGTCTGGTGCAGGATAGGGAGAAGTTGGGCGAGTTGTGGTATCGATATACGGAGGAAAATGGGTGGGAGGAGAGGATCGAGAGGAGGGTGGATCAGTTGGAAGCTGATAAGAGTGAGCTTGCTGATAAGGTGAGTGCAGTTGACGGGGTGATGGGGACAGTGAAGGGAATTCGGGAGATGGGCGAGGACCTGCGAAGGACGAAGGAGGAGGTGGCGGAGTTGAGGGGATTGTTGGAAGGCATGGAACGAAGAGTAGCTGGTGTGGTACAACGCACGGGCGATTTTAATGGAGAGAAAAAGGTGGGGGGAGGGTAGAATGGTGCTTGTGATAGAGCTTTTGGAAAATTGATGATGTTGGTAGTGTTGGTTTTCATTCTTAGTATTGGGGATATCGCTCAACAGAGCTGTGGAAAAAATTTCGAAAGAATTTGAAAATGTCGTGAAAAATCGAGTAGTAGAGAGGCTGTTGTTTGTTTTCAGACTGGAGATGATAACACTGTTGCGGAAACTGAGAGTAATGAAGGTGTAATTCAAAAGCCTTCTTTTAGCGAGTTCTCGAGTAGTGATGACGTCGTGGTTGTTTTGGGTGTACCCGAACAGGTGAGGGGACGTCGGAGTGGTATGAGCCCTATTGCTGGTAGCAGGATAAGGAAGAGGGCGTTGGTCGGGAGGAGGTCAACCAAGGAGAGTTGGAAGGTGTAGCGCGAGAGGTGGGAGGGTTTGTGTGAGTTCAGAGTCCAACGTCTACGACAACATGACTTAGCTAGAGTCATATCGATCCACATCAGCTCATGAGGGATCAGATGCTATTATTATTACTGCGGTTTTAGCCAATTTTATAGTAGGCGGAAACCGCAATGCTAGCAGTAGTAGTAGTAGTAGTAGTAGTAGTAGTAGTAGTAGTAGTAGTAGTAGTAGTAGTAGTAGTAGTAGTAGTAGTGTAATAGATGTAACGAGGCCTATCCTGGGGTGATCTCAGAGTCCATCGGCTGCATCTCCCGGAACACCCGCCGTTCCGCAATGGAGTAAAGAGGATGAGTTGTCCGGGCTGAGCAGCGACTTGGATGTTTCGGAGCCTCTCAATGAGACTAAGAATGACAAGTTTTCGGCTGAGGCGAGTCGTGACAGATCCCAGGTACCCGCAGCGTCGGGTCCCTCGTGTCCAGAGGCGCAAGACTCTGCTGGTGGGTTTTAAGGCGTAGGGTGACTCTGAGTGTGACTGTCATTGCAGGGCCCGAGCATTCTGTCGTTAGGAACAGAATTGTAGTTGATATGCGTCAAGAGGTAGGAGCTCGAGAGCTTAGTGAGATACCCTTGCTCACTTCAGTCGGAGGAAATCGATACAGAATCGGCTGATGGGGTGATGGGATGAATCTTGGTACCGCTGAGGAAGTCCTTGTGTTGAACTCTCAGACAGAAGAGCCTCGACTAGCCTCCTCTCATCTGGTCTTGACAGCTGAACGGGAGTTGGACAGTGAGCCATTCACCGCAGCTAGGGTGTGTTGTAATGAGCTGTGTTCAGCATCAGTGGAGGCGGCGTCGGACGTTGAGTCGATCCCAGAAGAGCCTGGCTTGGATGGAGACACAGAGAAGGGCGCAGCTGGGGTGGGCGAGGGGGAATGGCAAGCGTGGAGTTGGTTAGATTCGTGATTGAGGTTTCGTAGTGTGGCAAAATATGCACATTATCAACCACATATGTTAGTGACAATATGTAAATTCTGCGGAGATTTTGGGAAATTTTTATCGGTTTCGGTATACTTCTACCTTAATTCGTCTATGAACTTCCATAGTCAGTGAGAAAACCCCTCAGCTGAGGGAAGCGAACATATACTCCAACACCGAATATTGTTAGTGTAGTTTATACAGGTGATCACTGTGGAAGAGATTGTCAAGGAAAAGGTGTCCTACGACGATTGGGACGAGGAAGATTTCGAGTTTTGAGTACCGAATGAAGCGGCATGTGTCATGGAACTCATGCTTTTGCCTGAGCTTCTCTTGTGTATGAAGGTTGCGTTGTAGGGAGTAGGAGGATGTGCTCTGCATGATCGAGCACATCAACATCCTTCCCGTGAACACAGGGGAGTATCACATCATTATTAGAATACTTCCCTGATCTTGCAAGATGATACATCCATAAGACCCTCATCGCAGATGCGGATGAGAATGATTTCAGTTGACTATTTCATGCCTTGAGACAATTGATTTCCTATGCGAGTTGATCCTCTCTTCACTACACCTATCCTTGTTTCACCCAAGAATACCAACGATAACTTATTAACGCACCGAAGTGCTGTAAGAAGGGTACGTGTCCCGATAGAGCACTGGGCGGCTACTTGCCACATTCAGGGAGGAGGCAAGCAGACAAGCACTGTCCAATTGGTACAACCCGCGGCGAATTGTGCATATATTATTACGTAAGTCCAATCAGGATTGACCGCTGAGTGTAGCAGAACTTCAGTTACGAGGAAGACAGCTTCAGCACTAAAGAAGTCGCCCCTTTGTCAACTCGAGGGCAAAGGTTTTCTCTGGAGCCTAGCGGGAGTGGTCAAGATAGCGTAGGCCTTTGTATCGAGCGTTGAGTGTATCCGTGCCTCGACTTTGCAGTTGTAGGTAGTTCGTCTATGCTACTATGATTCCCAATCAAACGAGATTAAAGTTGTCTCTCTCGACACAGAGGACGGCCGCATTGAGGAACTAACCAAGTACCTTAGTCGATTGGTCTCTCGAGTAGTTGTGGAGCTGGTGAGTGGAACTCCGATTCTCAGGCTCAAGGTGGATGGAGCTGTGAGTTGCATCGAATGGTTCTCTCTCAGCTCGCTGATGATCCTCTGTGGAGACATACTCATGCAAGTTCCTCATAGTTAGAGAGTGCGCATTGGAGCCCCTATTTTTTCCAGGGAGATGACTCCGGATCCACTCGAGATAACTCGGACTTCCCGTATAGAGGCCCCGAGACATTCACAGATATGCCGTGCTCACAGCATGAAGGGAGTTGACGAGCTCCTCGTTTATGGAACTGGAGGCGGCTCAGTGTACGTGAGGAAACCGCTTAGAGTCGTAAAGCAATGGTTATCATAGGACCTGAGGTAGCCTCTTCAGGCTCTCACCTACCGCCGACGGTATTCGCTGCTCAGGGAGGTTTCTGTGTTCGGGTCGGATCACTGCTGCGGTCCAGCTCAAACAAGGTCCGTCCGTTGCCTCGTCTGATCACGCGATGTGGAGTCCATTAGGTTTGATAGTTTGTCGTATAGAGTCACATGAGGATGGAGTTGGATCAAGCGAAATGTATTTCTCTCGGTCTGTCTCGGATGAACTTACTGCTTCTCGATGCAGGTCCCTGAATACCATGGGGCGGGAAGCATCTCTGGACAGGTGGGAAGACCCCGTTCACAGGGACACGCCCGATTCTCTCTTTCCATTCACAGGTTGATGATGCCTGACGGTTCGTCTCTCCCTGCACTGCCATTGGACTACTCCAAGGAATTCGCCGTCACGTTACCGACAACAGTGTGGGTCCCACGTTATGCCAGCTAGCTCGAGTTGTGTCCCCACATCATTTTAGATTTCTGTGTGTTATCGAGTTGGTTGACGGAGATAACATTGATGGAGCATCAGTTTCTGTGATTGAGCGTGCGAGGACCCGCATTGATCATCGATACGTGAGAGCACCGTGCTTGCAAAGAGCAGCTTCTCATCATCAATCTTCCCTCAGAAGTGGCTCGAATGCATGTCGGACTGTAATCAGCCGCTATTCGCAACTGCTGGTTCTTCACTATCCCAAGTGCAACTATATCGGTGAGTGCATCTGTGGTGGCTTGGGCAACCATGACCAATGGACAACTCAACTCTGGGTCGTGCTATTCTTGAACACTCAATATTCCGGTACTCGATAGCTTCTTGGAGATCCTTGAGTCGAAGAATACTTCGTCAGTAGTGATCTCTCCGTGAGCTCAGGTATGAGAATTGCTCGATAGCATTGGTTGAAACTGTAGATCTAAGAAGAGAAGTTACAGCTTGGGCGGTAAGAGAATATTCGAACGAGGGAGATTGATGCTCTTCTGTTCAGACGACTTCACAGATACGGGGGTTGACATTTCTGGGAACATCGCGCGTTTCAGTCCTCGTATCGACTACTGACGAGGAAGATATGAAAGCTGATAATAGGCATGCATTCGCCTGGGCTCAAAAGGCAAAGGTGTGACCCACCTTGGGATGCCATCTCGTGGTATCCGGCCGAGGAATCTCGCTGTGAGATTGCACGTCTTCGGAGATTGGGTGTCGCTTTGATGGAGGATTCATTATGGAGCCAATGGCTTCGAGCCGTGAAGACTCGGCCTTCGCCGCGCACTGAGTGACCAACTTTATGTTCTCGAGATGTACCTCGTTACATTAGGCACCTTCGCAATGGGATGCGGTGACATTCCGACTGCAAGAAAGCGTTTCTGACTCTCCTCATGTGGGATCAGCTATGGAAGGAACTCCTCAAACAGGTATATTCCTATGATGGGAATAAGGGATACAAATTCTATCCCTTATTGCTCTGAGGTCGACCCACTCTGCAGATACTACTATAGACACGAACCAACTTTATGCTGAGGTCGTATCTCTTAGACGGGAAACGGAACAGATGCGCGATATGGTAGGAACTCTGTAAGAGAGGACTTTCAGTTTAACTCTTCAGGTGAACAAGATTGGTGATGACGTCGCCGCAATAAAGCGGTGAGTATCCAGAGCGGGAAGTATCGCATCCCTTGGGTCGAAGTTAGTGACAGAAACAAAGCATTCCCGTGGTCGGAATATTTCCTTGAAACTTTTTGGTTCTAGCACTGCTCGCATGAGTTTTACGTGACTCGATGCTCTGTCTCAGGTTGATGGAGATGCGTCTGTCTCAATGAGATAAACTCGGGCGAGGGTATCTATCCAGACAGCCTTTAGGAGGCTCGGTACGACCGATTTATTCACCCTTGTTACGGTGGTGTTGCACGTATAGCAAGAGTTTCGCCATGACATTGTTGTGCAAGAGATTATTTCATTCAGTTCACAGGATCGTTTATGGCCACACTTCCACTCGCCCGGTGGAGACTCTCTACTATAGAGGTGATTTAAGCGGATTGGGAGATGCAACAAGAGGAGCGGGCTTGACTCACTGTGAGTAACTCACAGCTTGGGAGTCCAAAAGCTCCTAGTTGCGCTCTTCGAATCACCTGGAGAGCGTGATATCTTCTTTTCGCACCTGTATCCCCCCTATTCAGTTGAAACAGTAGTGGTGCTAGTCAGAGGACTTCCTTGTTGAAGGAGTAGGACGACTACTCTACTACAGTAGTATGAGCAAGGAAACCTTGTCTGTCAGAATTAGCAGGCATGATCAGTAACAAGGTGTAAAACCCGCCATGCAGGAGCCGTCGGAGGTCAAGACGCACTAGCAGGCTTGTGCTTCCAAATATTCCTTGGAGTGACTCCAAGGAATGTACTGACTCCTAACTCGATCTTGTATGGCTAAGCTGCCTAGGGTCGGACCGGTTCATATATCGAGTGCCGAAAGCTGAATCATGAGGGGGAGGAGAGGACCTCTCCGAGAGGTTATTAGGCCGTTGGAGCAGCAACACACAGTGCTTCCGTTGTTCACTTATAAGTTGTCCACAAGGGGGAATATCGACGGACTCCTGGGTCGCAAGGAGGCAGGCAAGTAAACAGTGAGGGAGCAAGTGTGGATCCTTTTGCGCTCGCCGCATCCCGTGCGGCTCGCTGTGACTCACGTCGTGACAGAGAATCCCCATCTGGTTGTGGCACGTGGCTGATCGTCGTCTGCCAGCTGTATCAATTCACTAACAGTACTTGGTATACGTAAACATTGTTTCACTGTTTATCGAGATCTTCGATTGTGTTGGAGTACGACTTTCGCTCATCATGATGGTGATTGTTATCGGGGAATCGCCGATTGTTGCTGTCATTTCCCGGGTTGTGCCACAGACTAGTTATGTTCTCGTGAAGATATCACCCCGGGCCGTCGATGAATCACTGAACAGACTGAAGGTAGATGTTGAGAAGAGAATCTCGTGAGAAGACAGACCGGTGCCCGTTCTGGTATTAATGATGCAACACCTTGTTTGAAGTCTCCTCTGGCTTTTCATGTGGGCAGCAATCGGGTGGTGATGGACGATTTGTACTTTAAATTATTGAGTTTGCAGTTAAGTCGCGCAGTCGGAATCAGGTCGTTTACAAGATTTACCACAGAACTGTGTTTAAATACTCTGTTTGTAGTTTCTCGTGGAGTTAGGACTATCCAAATGCCACAACAGCATCCGTTCTGTAGGGAAACTGTGACTTTCGCTGTACCGCCGGAGTCCCTCATAACGGTGAATTGCTCTGTCCCAGCGCCGACGGGAGAATGCCGAGGATGTCATCTCGAGTTCTGCCCTGTAGCCGTCGGCCTTCCAGAGACTGCCTGTGGTGATTCGAATCATCCACATCAGCAAACCGCTGTGTTCTGCATCGGTTGCTTCCTCCACAGCTGCACTATATGTGACTCCCCCTGGAGGTTCCTTGTTGCTCGAGCCGAGAGTCTGCTTCATCTCATGCGAGAAGATTCAGCGTTCTTGCGAGCAGTGGGGGAGTCAAAAGCCGTGAGGAGTCACCTCGCGAGTTGTCTGTCCAGACTTGCATTGAACCGCAAGGCGGACCGCTGTTCGGAATTACTCTGTGAAGCTCTAGCGCTGATGATCATGGTGAGCGCAGAAGAGATAGTTTGTGATGGAATTTGGCAGAAACTCCCGCCCGAAGCTGTCGTATTAACCCTTCGACAAGTATTCGAAATCAGTCCGGTGGCGACTCACAGCGCTGTACTGGCTTATTTGGTTCAGCCGGATAACCCACAGCTCCTCACATGTGTCGATGTTGTTGCCCGCGGGGAGAGCGGCGAGCTTGTCGTGGCTGCAGCCAGTGAGGTGGTGGAGCTTGCTGTTGGTTACGTCCTCGGAAAAGAAGAGCTGGAGTCGGCGTCGATGTGGTTTATTGACAGCGCCCTCTGTAGGGGCCTGGTCTCACGGTTTTCGCGTGGTCAGAGGAACGACACGGCGATGAGGATAATGCTGATGATTGCGGGCTGCCAGGAGGCTGTGGATGCTCTGTTTATGGGGTAGGCGATGAGCTGTGGGAGAATATGGTCAACTGCATGTTTTGGTGACAAAATGAAAATTCTGGTGAATTTTTCGGGTTTTTGTATACTTCTAGCGTAAATCATGTGTGGATCTTCACTATACAGTGCGGTAACTCCCGAGCTTTGCTAAGGAAAGCAAACATATATTCCAATACTGAGCGACATTCAGAGAGAAACCGTCGGCTCAGATGCCTGGACGATGAGTGCGACCTCGGCACATTCCATTCGTTCATCCACGAGTTGGAAGCTGCCGTTGAATTCCACGTCCTACAGTCGGGCGAGGAGGACTTGCAGGAAGCCTGTATTATCCTATGCAAAGTTTTTCTGGTGCCGACTCCTCCCATTGTGCCCAGTGGGCCGCGCACTCTTTCTATCATCGAGTGGCTGCTGGAATTGGTCAGGACAGGCTCGAGTATGGGTTCCCTTGCTGCTGCTTGTCTCGAGGATTATGCAGGGGCGTGTCCTGAGATAATCGTCAAGCGTGTTTGGAATGACGATTTCGTCCCAATGATCTCCCCTCACATTGGAGAAGAGCCTTTCGCCGCTCTATTGAGGACTGTACTAGAGGCAGTGGAGCCGAGTAGCGTTGGTGATGCTACGCTGAATGCTTTGCTGAGATCAGCGGAAGTACTCCTTTGTCGCGGCTTGGAGGGTCCTGCGGCAACCGTGATGAATTTTCTGATTGGTTCGGTTGGGAACGGCGACCTCGGGCGGCTCTCATCCGGAATCAGCGCTGTTCTAGAGTCGGTTGAGGTTTGGGAAAGCAGCACGGTGAACTCCGACTTGTTTTTCGGTCGTATCTGCGATCTGATCGTCGCATCCGCCCCCCGGTTGTCCACGGTTCCTCTGGTAGCTCTGATCGACCAACTGTCGACAGTCTTCCTTGAGCACTTCGTATCCAGTCCAGTGGCTACTGAAAGCTTTCTTAATGCAATGGGAGTGTTGATTGGTGATTCATACGAGTGCCCACGTCTCGTAGAACTACAGCATCGTCTTCGGTCTGCAGCGGTACTGGTATCTGCCGTTACGATAGGATCTGGATCAGTGGTGCGTCTCCTGATGTTGGGTATTGTTCCTCGTTGGCTGGTTCCTCTCTTGTCTGTTGAGGATGTGGGAGTGACTGCTGGTGAGCTCTTCACAAGAGCAGTCGAGCTCGATGGAGGAGCTTCGAGCCTTACAGGCTTGACGGCTCTCTTCTCTTGGTTGACCAGCGATGGCGTTGTCGCCAACAATTTACTAGCCGCTGCGGAGCCACTGTCGAAGTTGATAGTGTCAGAATGGGAACCTAGGATGCTTACGGAGGCTCTGCTCTTGGTCTCGCACGTTTTGCGTCTCCTGGCAACCCGTGGCTGCTACCGCCCCGCATCACAAGTGAAGGCTCGAGTGCTCTCCGCATTCTCAATAGCTCACCTCGATGAGTGGAAACCCGATGCTGATGCGGCTTCGCATCATGTCAAACACATAACATTAACGCTGGCCTGGCTCCTTGAAGAATGCGAGGAGGTTCCTGTGGAGATATTCACATTGTTGGCGAATGCAGTTACCGTCGCTGACTCTAACTTGGAAGTGGGTTCAGCAGAATTCCTGCGAGCCGTCGTGGTCGCGGCCAGTCAGCAACCTCAGTTTGCAGAATCTCGCATGTTGCACTCTGCCATCAAGTTGATCGGTACGATCGAGACTTTTGCTGAGGACTGGCAGGCAGAGACCTTGCTGACAGCGTGCTGTAATTTCCTGGGCCGCGGTCATCTTGGCGCCGAAGAATGTGCTCTGTTGTGCGATCTGGTGGCCGCTGTTCTCATGATGCATCCGGTAGGAGTTGCCATCTTGATGGACGTCGGCGTATGTTTGGAAGGAGTCGCGGCAACTCGGTTAACCAGCACTGGCTCTTTGCACATACCATTGCGTGAGAGCTGTCTCCAAGCAGCTTGTGTCGTATATGAGCTCTTACAAGCTCACAGTGCAACACCAAAGTGCATTTGGCTGGGAGCATGGGCAGAATCGGAAACTGGTGGGAGCCCAGGAGCGGTGGCGTTTTGTGCCATGGCTGGCATCAGACTGCCAGTGGACGGCCTTAGCAGCATCACATTCACTGTTAGATGCGCTTACTGGTCAATGACTCTCTCTAGTGGCCGGAGCAATCTTAACGAAAACGAGATATCCGACCTTTTAGCTTTTGGCGCTGAGGGAGTACTCATGGGAGAGTCGTCAACGGCTGTGGATACGGAGTGTGCGGTTACACTGCTGTCCACTCTGCTTGTGTTTGCTAGGCAAACCAGAGACTGCCTCGCTATTTCGCTCATACTCGCTTGTCTACTGTCTGAGCCCCCCATTGGGCTCCCGTACTCTTGCCTGGTGTTGGCGCTTGTAAGGTACCGTCCTGTATGGTATCGTCTTGATCCTGATTGCCTATTGGGTCATCTGTGTATTGTTGCTGATTCTTTGGAGCAACTACCTGGAGACCATCGTAGAAGGTTCGGAGAGGCTCTCGTGAAGTGGGCCTCTGACTTGTTATCTCCTCGTCATGTTGCGGCTATCAACGAGAGTTCGCGCCTTCCTCCAGTCGTGGCACACGCTCCGCGGCGCCACGGAAAGGATTGGGACACCTGGGTTATGACTGGAATGATTCACCGTGCATGTGACCTTATCATGAAGAAGTTAATTTGAATCACCAAGTGGTTTCGTACAGAGTGCCTGTGTTGTGCTATCCGAGTCTGAAGCGGGACTTAGTTTCCAGCAGGCAGTAGTGATGTTTCGATGTAGGCCCCTGCTGCGGCGAGCAGCCACTGCCCGGCGTTCGCCATCCACTATTGCTGCTGCTGTCCGTCAACCAGTAACGGGAGCTACTTCAGCCTCCAAGAGCTTATGGGAATCGTCGTCGACCCCTTCCTACGCCATATCCGATGTGTAAGACTACGCATAATGTTGCTGCTCGAAGCGGTGGATTTTCGCGCGAGTTTGAGTGATGTTATTCACATTCGGGATTTTAGACCTGAGTTGACAGACATGGAGAGCGAGGCGATGCATGCGCGGATCGATCAGCTCATACGTCTTTACGAAAGTCGGAGCGCTGGAGCTAAGGACGTCTTCGCCATTCCATTGCATCTCTTAAAGGACAAGAACATGAGGGAGCGTTTCAACCTGTACCTGAGGTTAGTTTGAGATGATGCTGCATGACTCGTGAAGTTCCGACTGGCAGGTATCAAGGAGGACGCGAGCTTGTGTCGGGTCTTAGGGCTAGCCTTGCTGACGACACCTTTGCACAGGATGATCCCTCTTCTTCAGCTTTACCATTGAAGCTGAGGGAAGTGTCGAGGGCTGTGAAAAAGTTCCTCGATGAGAAATGTCGGAACCAAGTATTCGCTTATAAGAACCTACGCCACTTGGCTGACCTGAAGAATCTTGATGCCAAGACGTAAGTGACAGGGCGACACGAAATTATGAAATTGTTCCGCTGCCCATCTCGTTACTGTCTGGTGCATGATATACTTACGCAATAGACCTCAATCGTCCCATCAGGCCGGCCTTTCCGCGTGTGATACATTTCCACGAAGGTCCGACCAATAGTGGCAAGACTTATGCAGCTATGCAAGCACTCCGTACAGCGAGGTAAGATATCGTTGAGTGACTGTCGATGGGAGACATAGCGATTTCGATCACTCCCTTTGCTTGTTGTTTAGTCGAGGAGTATACTGTGGTCCGCTTCGGCTTCTAGCATGGCAGTGCTTTGAGGATCTCAAGGCCATGGGGCTCGATTCTGATCTCATCACTGGCCAGGTTGGAAGAACCGTGCTTTATACACCGTATATGCCGTCCTGTCTAGGAACATATCCGTGGCAAATGGGATGCAGTATCAGAGTCCCAGCTGGACGCTTCAGCGGAGAATACCGAAACAGGCGTCGGGACCCACCTTTCCTGCACTGTTGAAATGTGTCCTGGCCCCGGCAGCGTGGAGTATGATGTTGGTGTGATCGATGAAGTTCAGTTGGTCGGTGATCGAGAACGCGGTGGAGCCTGGACTAGGGTGAGCGTTTCACCGTGAGCCTCACCTGATGAGGATTTTTCTTGGCTTTCAACCTCCACTGATTGTTCAATATTGGTGTTACTTCGGTGTAATGTTTTGCAGGCCATATTGGCTCTCCCAGCTCGTGAGATACACCTCTGTGGCGACGGCAGGGCAACGGAACTCGTAGAAACTTTGTTGGGAACGTATCGCCCTAACGATGTCGTGGTCCGTCATAAACCGTGATATTTCTATCGTGTACACGAGAAACTGGAGGTATCTTGATCAGGTACTCCCGTCTTAGCCCCTTGTTTCTCTCCGGTAAGGCCATCGGTTCCTACCGTAGTCTTAGAAAAGGAGACTGCGTAGTGGTATTCAGTCGCTGGGATATCATGCGGTGAGAATAGCTCTGATGGTATGGTATACTTATCAATTGGGAGGCTGATACTTCTTAGGGTTAAGGCGGATATCGAGCGCTCCACAAGGTGGCGTGTCTGTGTTGTTTACGGTACTCTTCCGCCAGAAACTCGGCGTGACCAGATCAATAGCTTCAATCGTCAAGAGTTCGACGTTCTCGTAGCCAGCGACTGTATTGGCCTTGGTCTCAACTTCAACATACGCCGAGTAATTTTCTCTACTGTACATAAATATGATGGTATTGAGACGAGGCAACTCTTACCAACTGAATTTCGCCAGATTGGCGGTCGAGCTGGACGATACGGCCTCTCTGCCGGAGCTGAAGGGGGTGTTGTTGCATGCATGCACGAGGATCATCTGCCAGCGCTCTTCGCCGGTTTTGGCCTCGAATGGACTGAAGATACCTTCGAGAAAGAAGTCCCTAACCAGTTGATTATTTCCGACACTGTCACTCAAGCTGCTTTACTCCCTGAAAGCAGCATTCTCAGTGCCTTCCATTGCGAAGCGGCGGCTGCTCTAGGAGAGGAGTGCTTATCAGCTGCCAAAGTTTTCAGTACTTTCGCAGATGTTGCTCATACCGACCCTATATGTTATCTGGGAACCTGGTCTAATCGGATGGCCAACATTGCCAAATGCTTGGCTGATATCGAGGAATTGTCCTTCCAGCAAGTGGTTGAGTTCTGCTCGGCTCCGGTAGATCCTAACGATCCTATAGTGCTCAGCGGGTTGAGAACCTTCGCCCAGTCCTTAGTGGCAACGAATCAAGTCCCCCTCCCTGATAATATGGTATTTGATGCCCAAACCCCGACAACGGTGTCCGCAGTGTTCCATCTAGAAAGGATATGTCAAATATACGATCTTTATCTATGGTTGGCACGAAGAAGCAACCCCTTGGTGTATAGATCCGAGAAGGAAGCGCGCGAGGCTCGAGCGGAGGTCGTGGAGGCGATTACGAATGCTATCAGAGGCCAATTGGAGATCGATTCATCCGAAGACGTAGTCGCCCGGGTTGCCGAACAGTTGATGGATGATGATCTTCCTGGGAGTCGACGTAAGATCAGAAGCATCGAGCTTGGGTCGGTGTCATGACTCGTTTCTTGTGCTAATTCGGCGTTTCTGTTTATCTTGTTTATGCTCGAGTTCTTCAATCCGTAGAACAATTTCGAACTGGTCTTGGAGTCGGTCCTATCCTTTCAAAAAGAATTTCGGTTTTGTTCGATTGCTATTCTCGCGTTGATTCTTGGGGAGCCCAATATTTCAATCTAGAGGGTATTGTTATTAGAAGCCCTAAAGCTAGGTAGTCGTGCACGCTGTGTATTGGTGCTCGAAAATCGTGTAGGATTGGCAGACTTTCAACATCTGTAAGCTATCATTCTATTTGTCAACAGCAAAATAATGTCAAGCATCATGCAATTTGAAGGCCAGCAGCCACACATTCAGAAGCGACTGTTCCTGAAAGTGATTTATCAGGAACCTGAGGACTAAAATATCCAAATGTCGATCCAAGCAGTGCTCACCGACTGCCCCTCTTCAAGATCGGGCCTCCCATCCTGCCTCTGCATTGCCATCATCACTTTCATTAGCACTAAGAGTTGCATGAATCCCATGGCTAACATGAAAGTGATGAGAACGAGCATAGCAGTGAGCACTGCTGAATAATCCGTAGGATGCTCAACGGAAGCGCTGCTGCCTATCTTCTCGATCTTGGGCGGTGGTGCGACCGTTGTAGTCGTGAAGAAGCTGAAAGCATGGAGGTGGAAACGCGTGAGGATCTTGGATGCAGACTTACGGATCTGTGGGAGATAAGGTCAGGTCACTCAAGTTGAATGGCTTAGTCGTCTCCTGAGGCATTGAACCCTCGATTAGGTCGAGTTGCCCAGGAGGGCCAATATCCACGCCGTCGAAAAGCTTGGCATCACTCAATGCAATGAAGAAGATGACGAAAGCTCCCATAGTCCACATGATGGATGGAATGTGTAATCCTGACATGATTTTGGGTACAAACAAGGTCCTCCGATGAATCGAGATCGAGGTCCAATGTGACTATTGGCCCAGCAGTGTTAGGGAACCACCGATTGCCCATTGCTCATGTGGCCTATACCAGCGAGTTCTACCCTCGTCTCAACCACAATGGTACAATCATAATGATCGCATCGTTCTACCGGTAGCCGTGTTTTTATGGCTACATAATGGAGCTATAAAACACATAATTCATGTGACATAAACTACTTATTGGGACTATTGGCGATGAGTCCCGCCACGTGAGAGGTTACAATTAGAGTCCTAGATACCTGTCCGGCGATTAACGTGTTTTACCAGTCAGGGGTTGAGAATTGCAAGTTTTCCAAGCTGCAACGCAACTCGCAATGCAAGTCTTGCACTTGAGCAGTACGACGAGTTGGTTGAATGGTCAGTTCTCGTACGTTTTCTATCCTCAACATATCTGATGCTGCACTCAGCTCCTTCTGGAGGATAGAGGAAGTTGCACTCACTAAGTGACCTGTGGAATGTGATTTCACTTCCTCTCCGATCTTAGTTGGTTGGTTGGTGAAGTTGGTCCTTAATTATTCTCGTGACGTGTTGAAGTAAGAGTGTTCTCCAGTTTGAATAAGCCGATGGGGACTGTCAGCGGTCACTGACCTCTGCACAAAACCTCCACGCTTGGTGGCCTTATTGAGATCGCCCTACCTTCTCGAGGGCATCTTGAAGAGATCAAGGTCACCATGTCCCAACACAATTTTCTCCGCCGACTAATGTGATAACGATTAGTGCTAGAAGTTCGTCTTCCGAACCTCGGATAGGGTCCGTTGGGAAACCAAGAGAGGCGACGCCGACGGCTCCATGGGCTGGTTCCTGACAGTGTTTTGGGCTGATACTAGATACTTGATTCTCGCGATATTCGGCGCGAGGAGAGCTTCCAGATCGTACCACTTGAAGCATTGAGGGATAGTGTTAGCCTAGATCGGTAAGCCCTGTAAATGCAAGCACCTCTATCCCATGCTTCACCTTCGTTCCGTCTTTCACCAGAAAAATAACGGGATGAAAAAGGTCCTATCGGGATTTGAACCCGAGTCGCTGGATTCAAAGTCCAGAGTGCTAACCACTACACTATAGGACCGATGAAATCCATTCTCTATAAACTGAAGGATAGTCTCGGATAAAAGACCACCAAGACGAGTAATCAAGATTCATTCAAAGTACTCTTATCTCATTCTTCTCATTGATTTTCAATTCTCGGTGATCAAATGGAGAAGCGAACAAGAATCAACGACGTTATTGTCAGAATTCAACCTAAAGTCGTCGAGTTCAAAGTCCAGTGCTGCACTTAGTGAACCACCAGAACAAGCGTGTGGAGATCTTAGTCGTCCACTAATTAGGTGGCATTCTAGCGGGCAACCCCCCTCATAAGAAGAAAGGCGACTTTCCTCAGTTACTCTACATAGAGACTTAGATGAAAGACTGATCGAATGAACATACAATAACGTAGCGAGTGCGATTAGTTGCTGCAAAACTTTGCATCCATCGTTCATGAGCCGTCGATCAAATGAGCGCATGGTGATATGATGGTCTTGCAGGCCGAAGGGAAACGGTGACCCTTGCTGATTGTGAGATGCGGTGCGTTCCTTTTCGTCCAAGCGGAATAGATTCATCACCATATTCTACAGGTCTCCTCAAGGGTCAACTCTCAACCATCGAGCCAGTTTCTCCTCATCTATTTCTATCCATAGGCTGCCACAGCGCCTCCGTCTAAGCATTATATCACGTTGGCATTGCAAGACAGATCCTTGGAATCCTCCACTCATCTGCGTCGCATTCGAAGCCGTGAATTGACGCCTTATGCCGCTCCCATGACTCTCGTAGCCCTCACTACTGGAATGAAAACGCGATACAACTGCGGGGGAAAGGGAGTCCCCAAATCTCGAAGTTGTCGACACAACTTCGTTACGTTGAGTCAGCCTTGTGCTGAAGACCCGTCGGAAGGTCGCCAAGCAATACATCCTCGCATGACTATCTCTGCCGTGTTCATCATCGTCTCTTGCAACCCATCAACACGTTCGCGTTACCAAACGCGTTACTACAGTTCTTCAAGTATGTAATATGAATAATGACAAGCGGAGTAAAATCAAAACCTTTTTCGCATTCCCACGAAAATATGACCAGCCAAGTGTCATCTTATCTCGCCCTTATCCAACCGTTGAGAACCGTCTCGAGACCCCAACCGTTGCTTTCCATTGCCATAGCACGGGGGTGAAATGATCGACCACATCAAGTGACTTCATCCAATGATTGTTACTGAACTCAACCGCAATCACAAGATAAAACTGCAAGTGAATAAACATCAATAATATCATAATAATACTTCTGCGGTATAATTCATACCGCGATGATCGTCAACCTAGAAGACCACACAGAGCTCATAAAAATGCGACACTCCAACACTCCAACATAGCATGTCATACAGAAGTGTCACTAAAATCAAAACCCACCTCACTAATTTCCGTTGCCTTGCAGAAGCGCTATAGCTTCAGTGAGGAGCTTTATCGCGGTGGCTCTGTCGTCGAAATCAATAGCACTACTAGCATGCTGAAGAGGAAGGTCGATGGTCGCATCCCCCATAATGATCAACACTTACGTGACACTTCTTCTTCGCCTCTTGCATTTGCGCTGCCGTTGGTCGCTTCTGAAACGCTGCTGTGCTCGCGTGGAACTTCATACCACTCGTCTGCCACATCACACTCACAGGTACCCCCGGATTGATCTTAAAGCACATGTTGCCGCTCATCAACTTCCTCTTTCGATCCCTTGAAGGCCTCCGTTCGAGCGGCAGGTGCTTTCACGGATGCTGTATTACCTAATGAACACTTCTTTGAACTAAATTCGATAATACCATAATTCGCACTACTCCTGTCGGGCGCAGCGGTCGTTGCCGTCGAGCCATTCGACGCAGCGGTCGTTGTAGAAGGGCCATCATCGCTGTAATGGAAAGCACCCCGAGGTGCCATTGAAGGCTCTGAATGCGATCAACTCCCGTCATACTCCACCCTTCCGGTGGTACCACTGGCCTGCTGTGAGTGCGGCGAGTCGCTCGTCAGCATTCCTCCGGGAGGACCGGGTTGGGGAGGCGTTCCTTCCTTCAAGCATTTGTTGATGTAAACTGCCTTATACTTCGCATATCTCGAATGGAAACGATGTCGTGGTAGAACGCATAAAAAAGACCAAACGATGATTCGAACCCACGCCTTTCGATAGTCAGCGCACACTCCTATCCATCCGATTACTTTCTCTTTTCTTCCAAATCTGTCGACAAAACGCCCTTGCCGTCAACTTGCACTCCCTCTAGCACATCGAAAAACAACGAAGCGCAATAGAACTTCATACTCGTGGCGGCCGTTATTTCACCTACAAAAAATACCCTCGGTCGGAATTGAACCCAGGACCTCCTCCTCACCACTCCGATCTTCGTTGTCGGCGTGACCAAAGACGCTTATACAAAAATCTTCTAACTTCTGAGGTCCATCTTCGAGAGCCTGCCCCAGCTGGGCTTTCTCCCTCTCGCAGATATCCAGCAACGACATCAGAGTCTGAAGAGCAGGGGCAGGTGGTTGGTGTCATTCGCAGCGTTGGAATGTAGTGTGAATCGAAGCGTTATGCAAAGTAATATTTCCAAAGCCTCCATATTTTTAATGGTTCGAAAGTCAACTTTGAGTAATATCAACATGATAACAATGTGAATCGATTGACAAGCCATCAAAGGCGTTTCGTAGTCTATATTCATACTCTCAAATTGAAAAAAGCCATCTCGAAAATCTAGACATGGATAAGTATATAAGGCGAATTTCGCACTGTATGTTCGCCTTTCCTCAGCTGGCCTCAATAACTATACAGGTCTACATACAGAGTAGAAGTGTACAGAAACCGATGAGAACTTCCCAAAAATCACTCAGAATTTCATATTGTCAACACCAATACATGTAGTTGACCATGTGCACACCCGAAACACATTAAACATTTCTCGCAGTGTTTCGCTAACGTATCGAGAAAATTTCAAAGGGAACTTCATCTGAAAGGTGACACGTGACACAGTATGAAAATTCCACACGCTGTTGATGACAACCCGACACTACCCCATCCAATGCCTTATCATATCCAGGGCGTTGTCGAGCGGCCATCAACGACTCTGCCACATATAGTCGGCAATAGAAAGACACTAGAGGGTATCTGAACACCAACTGGGCTGGTGAGAAGAAGGTCATCGCGATGGTACTGATTATCAACCTCCTCAGCTCGCTTTAGATAAGGAACCCATTTACGACCAGAAGGAGGGACGTTGGCCGATAGAGACATTATGAAGGGAAATACACTACTCTACTCTTGGTGGGGGTGAAGTTGCACTGACAGGCAGAAGTCTTACGATGCAATTCCGGGCACCGAAATCGTCATATACCCTATTTTATCGATAGAGGCGCTTTGTGAGCTCCTACCAGTATTGGACATCCTAGTTATGGCTCGGCCAGTGCTCTAAGAATTGACTCGAACGACGACGGTTGAAAGGTTACACGAGCGAAATTTGAACCCGCGTTCGATCCCGGCATCTGTCAATTGAGAGCATCAGTTTGAAACTCGGCACTGTAGGAGATATGGGAGTGAAAAAGTCGGTCGGTGTAGATAAAACCCAAATGGAAGTTGAGACGAGCCACCAATGGTAACTCTTCATGCTTGACCCCTTCATCCAAGAGGCTATTCCATGAACCTTATATAATATCCTGGCAGGTAGCCCCCAGAGTATGTACTCCTTGCTGGTTGGTCTCAGAGTCTGTGTGGAGAGTTGAGGATGATTACGGTAGCTGCTCGCAGGGATGATTTATGATGATATGAGTATCTCTATTGTATTTGCTATTGTGATCATTCTACATAGAGTTGCACCCTTCTCAGTGGGTTTTTCTCCCTCTGATTCACTTGCCCGCTCGGGTATTGGATCAATTCCATCGCCATTCATTCAATTCCTATCGACGAACTTGCGTTCACTACTGTTCAGTCAAAGAGATGTCTACAAGATCACATGCCAAGTCGGAGAAGTCGGACAACACGAAGCACGAGTACGTCAGAGTAAGAAGACATCATTAACAACGGATGGCGCCCTCGTTGGTGAGGAGATCTCATTCCTCCAGTCACTAGACTATGTTGTTTCCCATTCCCAGTCGTCAAAGAGGTCGTCACGTCGGACAACACAACCAGGTAAGTGGCGAAGTAGAGAAAGATGATCTTAATCATCCTCAGTCCTACACATCTGGGCTCAGCGGGAGCCAGCCGTTTCATGCAGAGCTGTTCCATTAACAGAAGGCGAAGTGAGAGTACTGTGGCGAACACCATTGATGATTACGATACACATCTACCAGTGCCACAACTATAGGGAGGTACTCAGGTGATACTCAATGAGCACGTGGAAGGCCCAGGTTGACCTTCATCTCATGCCGACTAGCTAGAGGAAGGAAAGAACATCCTTAACTGCTACATAGGAGAGGATTTGAGGATGCATTCGTTCAGATCGACAACTTCATTTCTCCCAAATTCTTGGAGTTTGTCTGACGTTGAGGAAATGTAAGGTTGTATAAGAATGCAAGTGGTAGTAAGTGAACGGTGACCAAACCGGAGTGTGAGCTTCCCATTGAAGTCCTTGTTGGGCTTGTCACTCAGAGTTACTATAAGTCGTATTAGTTTTTATAGGGAAGGGAGATGAGCCCTGGTTGATAGGGAAGGTGGAAGGGGTCTCCCACTGCTAACATGGTATTCTCATGAGGTCATATTGTTGAGGGTGGAGTGAGTTCACCCATGGATGGTAGCTGACAGAAGTTTAACGCCAAAAAGAGTTATGGTGAGAGTGGAGAGTCCAGGAGTAGCTGAGAGGATCAATAAAACAGTGTTGTAATATGTGTTCGCTCTCCTCAGCTGAGCTCAGGAGTTTCCTCACTTACTAAAGGAGTTTCACGATTTCGGGTAGAAACAACAAACAAGGATTTCCCAAAATTTTCTCAGAATTTTCATATTGGCATCAACACATGTTGGTGACCGTGTGAATATTTTTCTACACACTGCATAAAAGACTTCACGACTGCTATCCGGACTCCCTCTCGATCTAGTAGTCATCCCTGGTGGTGTGCAGGGTCGCTTGCAGTAACGGTTGCTAACTACTCATTCACCGCTTTCATCAGTTAGCATATATCCTCGTTAATGTCGTGTTGGGGGAGGGACGAGATGGCTCGTGTGTTGATCGTATCGTATTTCCTTCAGTGCAAGTTTATTCATACCATGTCGCATGCAACTCGCGGAGGCCTTCCTCTGAGGTATGAGCACCGGCCTAATGGTAAGACGTGTAGTGTAGTCAATGTTGTCGGCTACATGGGTTCTCGAATTTGTAATTTGTTCGAATAAAGTGATTATTATTATTGCGGTTCTCTCAGGAAACGTAAGCCCGTCATCATATGACGGCAGTTCTATTGGTGCCACCTCCTCCTCCTCTACTACTACACCAAAGTATAGTGATTCTGGCAAGGCTGTAGGGGTAAGCTTGCGGCTATAGTGTTTTATATGCTCCTCAGGGGAACTCATCATCTGATCATCAGGCGGAGGTCGTTAGGCAACTACTGGAGTTCATGAGTGCGGCTGAGGCGGGTGATTTATGCTGATACCGTAAATCGAGGAAATTGTGGTGTATCAGGTGACCCTACAGCCACTTCACTATTTGCTGGTCTGAATGCTCATCAACGTTTATTCAATGCGGCTGCTGAGTGCGATGACTTGATGGAGGGGAAGGGGCAATCTGGGATGTGGTTGGAGGATGGTTATCCACTCTCGATGTGTGTACAAGGAGATGAGTATTACTTTCAGTTGTCAGAGGATGATCTACGCAAGGTGGTATGGTTTGGGCCTGTTTTGTATCTTACTATCTCAACCTTAAGATTCTCCGATTAGGTGTTTGGAAGATATGGTGAAGTCCGGCTCATTGAGGTTACTGGTCCCGGTAGAGATGTTGCTCATGTCTATTATGAACAGTTGGCTGATGCACAGAATGCTATACAGGACCTCAACGATAAGGTACTATCAGGTGCTATTAACCGAGCAATACCTACGGTCAGATGCTAAATACAGTACGGGGAACACTACGTGTCGTATGGGGGGTCTACCACTCCCCTCACACTTTCCCGACGGCGCTCAAGGCACCTGTAACGAGGGGGAAGGGTATGCTGGTAGAAAATTGTTCGTCTCTCTCAGGGTTGTTCACTGACCGTCGATCGTTCGCAACAAGGTAAAGGGAGGGGGAGTATGGTATGTTGTAGTATTGCATGTTTAGACGGCTCGCAGGGGACCAGGCTAACTCTAGAGAACGCGGAAGCCTCCATCAGCCGGTAGTTGCGGAGCCCTGTCGCGATCGAGTAGAAATCTGTCTATAGGTTGTTGAGTGAAATCCAAGATGTGGCGTCACCGATGAAGTCGAGTAACACGCGTCGAGTGGGGAGTAGTGGCAGCCCTCTGGGGCCGGGGCCGTTACGTAGAGGGGGAGCCTGGCGGTCGTCGAGGGAGGAGTATAGGGAGAAGCACTTGTACGATGAGGAAGTTGTTGGGGACACGACGAGCTGGACTAATGGTAATATGAGATAGTTGTATGCAGGGTAGGCAAATATGCAAATTTGTTGATGAAAATGTGCAAATTTACGGAAATTCTCGTTGGTCACTACACTTGTACTCGGATTTTTATGTCAACTTGTGCAACTAGTGAGGAAATGTGGATTCACTCGCGGAATGGAACATCTTTGGGAGGGGGTCTTCCTACTTATCGAACTCTCTACCGTGTAACACACTATCTACCGGTTCATACTGCAGGCTCAGACAGCAGTGACTGAGCCTGCAGCTATACCTCTATACTTGCTATTGCTCGCCTGCTCGAAGGGGCGCTGCGCAAGAAGAAGAAGAAGAATGCGAACAATGTTCGCCGAACATACATCCCAACACTGACTCTGTGTGTTCTGTTGAGAACACGAATAGTTCTGACGGGTGGAAAAATGGTTGTTGTTTAGGTCGACAGGTAGGGGCCTTTGAGGTGATGCCACCGCCGCAGTCGGTGGGGCCGGCAGCAGCAGCAGCAGCAGCGACTGAGGGGCCTGTAAGGAAGTACACGTGTAGGTTTGATATAGGCATTGATAATGATAGGGAGTTCCAGGTGGGAGGGGAGGGGGTAATTTCGTGGCGCGTGACGGAATATTTTATTAGGTTGCTCGAAGGATCATAGGGAATAAAGGAAGTAATATGAAGAGGATAGTCGGATTGTCTAATGCCAAGTTACGTTTGAGAGGTCAGGGATCAGGGTAAGTAGTAGTGATAGGTCATCGTGATGATGAGAGAGGCGGAGCTTGCTTAGTTCGCGCCTTTTGATTCGATCAATGGATTCGATGTATGTCTCCGGTTCGATCCCCGGGTTGGACATTTTTCTGTCAAAATGTTTTCGTCCATACCTCTGGGGGATATTTGTCAAATAGAGTTTTTCGATTCTTGTGGATATCTCGGTATATAGAGGAGCTGGCTGATCTATCTGGTGGCTTCCTACGCTTCGTAGATCAGCCAGAATAATTCTGCACGCACGCACAACGCGAAAGTGTCTGTTGTTGCGGTATATGCTCCTTTCGTTATTCCTATTATTATTGTTGTTATTAGATATCTGGAAGGAGCCATAAGACAGGAGTCCCCCGATCCACTTCATCTTTGTATAAGTTGTATTACCAGGGACGGGTATTATTATTATTATCATCATTATTAATTGTATTGATATTATTGTCAGTTACTTGGCCGCTGTGGAGGAGACTAAAACCCTTTTAAGACGGGTATATGCTGAGTGGAGGAATTTCCAAATTAATAAAGGAAGAGGAGATCCTGGCATGATGGAAATTCAGATGAAGGAACATTTTCTTACTGCTGCTGGCGAGAGAGATCTCGATATGGAGTATTCACAGCCGTTCAAGTCGACCCCGGTACGAATCCCACAGCGCGCATTTCTACTTCATTCTAGTATCCCATCAGATGAACCAACATTACCCGACGATGCCCCATCCGTCGCAAAACTACTACCCTCCGAGCATTCCCCATGCCCCTGTGTCGAGTCGTGGAGGCCCTTATAATTATCCGCGTTGAGGAATTGCAAGATTTGGAAGATCTCCGTTGTGTACACTAGAAGAATAACTATCTGATGAACCATATAATATTTATTATCGAAGTCGTACGTTTACCCCGAACTATCCCATCTGCGAAGTTATTTCAAAGAGTATCATATCGCAATTCAATCGTATGTGTATGCAACTTCATCATTGGTTGAGGAAGAGGAGGAGAAGGAGTTGTTGATGGAGTGGTAGATTGAAAATAGCATATTAGCATAATAATTGACTTCAAAAGTCTCGAAACTCGAGATTATGATGGCGCGATTCCAACATTGCGTTGTGTTGATCACAGTACACACGGATAGAGTGGCATCAGACAGTCGTTGTAGGAACTTGTCGCCCGCCACGAAATTGCCAACCGTTAGTCTCGAAAGATCGTCAGCGGTGAAGATTAAACTCATTGTAACCAGATAGTATTTTGGGAAGTCCATCAATTCCCTACACTCAAGTTGGAAACCCGCGGAGGTTCGATTCGCGGCGAGCGCATTTTTAAATGACATTTTTTGGTTGGCGGAAGATCGTCTTCTGGTATACCTTACAGGAGGCGTAATCGTCTGTTACATATTTGAAATCCGATGAATATGTTATGGTGGGGCTTTCCGGAACTACCATCGCGCTGGTGAAAATCAGTGTTGGAATATATGCTCACTTTCCTCAGCTCAGTTCAATAGTTTCCTCACTAACTAGAAGTATATAGGTACCAATGAGAATTTCGCAAAATCTTCTCGAAATTTTGTTATTATCACCAGTGATTATGTGCATACTTATCCACACTACTTGAAATGGCTTTTTATCAGTTATAATATTTGCCATTAATATCAATTCGTGACCAGTGCCGTCTCAAAGGGTCTCTCTATGTTTACTTCCGATCAGCTCTCTGCTACAAAAGGGCAGAAACCAACATCTGATGAAGTTGCAGTAGAACCGGGATGCCCAGCGGCCTCATCGGATACACGAGACTCTCAGTGGAGGGTAATACTATAAGCAATCGCAGCTACATTGAGCGAGGAGTGGTATGTGGTTTTAGGCCTTGCCGGAGGTTGGCCCTGATGAAAATGTCGAGATCGCTAGACAATTTGTAGAATTTATGACTAATATCAATGAAGCTGATAACGGTGAGTCTTCCCATCATTTTCAAATCTCAGATACGTGTGTAGTTCATAGGTTATTATGCAACGCCAGAAGCAGCTACTATCGACGGTGTTCAGCGGCCGCCTCCTCCTCCTTACGGTGGGGACTCTACCATGAATCAGCATGGTATTGAGGACTTCCTGGGGGGAGGAGATGCTGAGAGGTTGGGTTATCCACTCTCGATGTGTGTGCAAGGAGATGAGTATTGCTTTCAGTTGTCAGAGGATGATCTGCGCAAGGTGGTATGGTTTGGGCCTGTTTTGTATCTTACTATCTCAACCTTAAGATTCTCCGATTAGGTGTTTGGAAGATATGGTGAAGTCCGGCTCATTGAAGTTACTGGTCCCGGTAGAGATGTTGCTCATGTCTATTATGAACAGTTGGCTGATGCACAGAATGCTATACAGGACCTTAACGATAAGGTACTCATAGATCTTCACCTGTTGGTATAGTGATAGGTCCTACTAGGTTCTAAAAGGAGTTCAGGGAGTTCTTCGGGTGGTATGGGGCCTATACCACGCTCCGTCCAATTTTACTAGGGCTAATCTCATCATCACCAATCATGAACAATCGCAATCCTCTGTTGTTGGTGAAGAGGATGATGATGGTAGAAGTGGCAGAGAGGAGCCGTCCTCAAATAAAGGGAGTCTGCTGGGCACCGATCATGGAAGCTGTTATGATGATGCTACTCTCAACCAGTAGGAGACCTTGATGTCGGTGAGCGAATCGATGAAAATTTTCAGGCTTTTATCTGAGCTTCGTAAAGGATCATCGCCGCTGAGTAGTGAGGAGCTGACGAAGGACCTGAGAGATGTTCCCTCTACTGCTACTGCATCAGCGGTATCATCGAGGAGAGCTTCGGAGGGTATCATTGGATCGCCGCACTTACAAGGAGCGGAGGAACCTCATGGTGATGAGGAGGAGAAGGATGCAGGTTAGTGAGGGGGGGGAGGTGGTGGTTTTGGTAGACGACACATTGGAATGGTGAAAATCTGATAGGGACTAATGTACGGTTTTGTTGTTACTCAGATGAGACGGCGGTTGGAGTTCGGGCGCAAAAAGAAGTGTTGCCGTCCACATCGGAGCCAATGAGGAGTGGGTCAATAAGGAAGTACACGTGTAGGTTTGATATAGGCATTGATAATGATAGGGAGTTCCAGGTGGGGGGGGAGGGGGTAATTTCGTGGCGCGTGACGGAATATTTTATTAGGTTGCTCGAAGGATCATAGGGAATAAAGGAAGTAATATGAAGAGGATAGTCGGATTGTCTAATGCCAAGTTACGTTTGAGAGGTCAGGGATCAGGGTAAGTAGTACTTACTATTATCATTACTACTACTTACTAAGTATTAGCCATGGTAATAGTAGAGCTTCACGACCCGTTTTACGTGAAGTGGCGTAAAACTCGGTGAAAAATGCGATATTCGCGCTATGCAGTAGTCGTGAAATATATGTTATTCATACCACGAGTAAAACTCCAATGGTGATGAGGTTGTTATTCCTATTATTATTAGAGGAGCATAGAGGACGCGCTTGATTTACCTGATGCTCTCGGGCCCTTGGTAGTTGAGTCATAATGAATCGTCACGCACGCACGCACAACGCGAAAGTGTCTGTTGTTGCGGTATATGCTCCTTTCGTTATTCCTATTATTATTGTTATTAGATATCTGGAAGGAGCCATAAGACAGGAGTCCCCCGATCCACTTCATCTTTGTATAAGTTGTATTACCAGGAATGGGTATTATTATTATTATTATCATCATTATTAATTGTATTGATATTATTGTCAGTTACTTGGCCGCTGTGGAGGAGACTAAAACCCTTTTAAGACGGGTATATGCTGAGTGGAGGAATTTCCAAATTAATAAAGGAAGAGGAGATCCTGGCATGATGGAAATTCAGATGAAGGAACATTTCCTTACTGGGTCATCGTCATCATCATCATCAGCTGCTGCTGCTCTGTCACACAGCACCCAGGTTCGATCCCTTGTGACGGCATTTATATTGTGCCACATATTGTTCTTATTTTTCAGAGGTTCACTGGACACACTCCGAGACGATTCGGATCTTCATCATCTTTCGGTGAGAAAAGGGAGCGATTTTTGTCATCACGAAGTTCCTCAACCAATACTGCTACTAACATGAAGACTTCAGCAAGCAGGACTAGGCGACGAGATTGATTATCAGTGTGAACGACGTCACTTCGCATCTGAGCCTCGGGGGACCTCTCGGTCTATTATCATTAATCTCACAGTGCCACACAACCGCTTTGCATACTATTTGCAGTTGGGATGGTATCGTCGTGATGAATATTGTAAAAAACTCTGATATTTTTTCTACCGCACTTCTGCCACATCGTCGTTGAAAAGGCTTTGCAGATGTTATAACGTCTTATTCACCTACCGTACCTTGTTTGACTAGCGTATGATGACTGATTCAGAAATCACTCTTGTGTTAATCTCGCTCGCCCTGCCCTCCCCCTCCCCATTGCATTAGCTTTCGTCATGTACAATGTCTCGGGGGCATCTCCCTATCATCATCAGGCAGTTGCATCAGGAGGAGGAGCAGCGTGGCGAGAGGTAAGGAGGTTCCGGGTTCAATTCCTGGTACGGACAAGTGCGTAGAGGCTCATGGTAGCAATGGCGAGCAGGAGGGTCGGCGTGGGTGGAATTACCCCGTAGAGCCTGAGATAATTACTGTGGTGGTTCAGTGTAGTTCAATACTAGAGTTAACAAGGTGCTAGCCATGTTCACTAGATGTGGAGGTAGGATATTAACTAGGACGG